AGCCGGGGGAGGACACAGCCCTGTCCCAGCAGCCCCATCGTCCCTGTTGCCTTCCCTGCCCGCGGTGTCACGTGCAGGCAGACGTTAACCCTGGACGTGCGCTGGAGCTGCCCCGGGCGGGCTGCCAGCACGAGGTCAAGGGCAGCGCTGCGGGGGGGCAGCTGGGACCCTTCCCCTCTGGGACCCCCCAGGTTGTGCCCAGTGGGGTAGGGGCACAAGCCAGGGCTGCATCCCACTGCTCTGGGGCTGCCACCAGCCACGCAGGGCCTGGCCACCTCCCTGGAGCAGGACAAGCTCTGGCTGCCATCCCAGCACCGGCTCCAGGCCCCAGCTGCCGGCTGAAGCGGGAACACTGGAGACGGACAACAGCAAGCGAGGGCACCCGGCTGCTTACCTGGCTCTCCTCTGTCCCACTTGGCCAGGGGCCCACTGCTGGTGACGCTGCACAGAATGCCATCCCTGGCCACCCTTCCCAGCACTGCAGCTTCTCCCCAGGGAGCTGGCGCGGTTGGACACCTCTGCCCCCGTGCAGGGCTGTAGCAGGACTGGGCGCTCCTCCCTGGCTGGGCCGAGCCAGCCCAGGTGGCTTCCCCCTGGGAGGTGCACCTGGGAGCCCCGCTGGCACCCACGCTGCAGCAGCACCGCAGCCCTGGGGCTGGTGGACCAGAGCCCAGGGGGATGCTGGGGATGCTGTGGCGCCAGGACAGGAGGAGCTGCAGCGAAGCGGCCATACCAGCCTCACCTCCCTCATGGAAAGTGCCCGGAGCGCGTCAGCGCTGCAAGGGCCGGGCATGTGGGGGTTGCAGGAGCAGGCAGCAGCGTCACCACGGCCAGACCCTGCCCGTCCTCCTGCTGCGGGCACGGGGCAGGCTCAGTGCCTCACCTGTACTTTGATGGTGGCTCTGGCTATGGCCCGCAGCCCAGAGCTGGCTGCATAGGCTGCCTGGACCTCCAGGGTGTATTCAGGGACGACCTGCAGCAGGGGGCTGTGTTAACACCAAACCGGGGGGACAGGGAGTGAGAGCCAGGCAGGGAGCTGTGCTGGGGCTCACCTGTGCTGCCAGCCCCGTTGCAGCCACGGAGATCACCCCGGTGCTGCTGTTGACAGCAAACATGTGGGGCTGGGGCTGGTCTGGCATCTGGCACAGGATGGAATAGACCACTGCCCTGATGCTGGAGTTCACTGAGCTGTCCATGCTGGTGGCCAACACCCGCAGCACTGGGGTTCCTGGGAGGGGGAAGTTATTGGCAACATCTGCCCTGTGCCCCTGGCACTGCTTCCTGCTCCACAGCAGCGGTCTCACCTGGCTCAGCTCCCTCCTGCACGGTGCCATGAAAAACCGCTTGGCTGAAGACTGGTGGGTTGTTGCTCTCATGACAGTTTTTGACTGGTCCTTCACAGTCGCACACTTGGACCTTCACCAGTGTTACTTGTGCCTTGCCCTGCGCGTCCGTCAGCTTCAGGAAGACGTTGTACTCCCCCGGCTCCAGCTCCTTCATCAGCTTCAGCACCACCTGGTCTTTTGTGCAGAGAGGTTGGTTTGGGCTCAGACACAGGTCCCCACTCCCCCATTTGGGGACACCCTCAGCACTGCTGTGGGGCTTTGCCACGGGGCAGTTCCCCAGCCTGGGGCCTGGCACCGGCTGCACTCGGGGGAGCACACAGAGCTGAGGGGGGCTGGGATCGGGCCCTCACTCAGTGCCCCCCACCACCCTGCACCAAAGGTGGGTGGCTGAGCCAGACCAGGTGGCACCTACCTTGTCCAATCACCCTGGCAGTCCAGTTGGCACCAGAGCCATGTTCCAGCGCTGCCTGGAAGGGGTAGGTGTTGGGGGGCAGGTCCTTGTCAACAATGGTCAGAATCTGCTCCTCGGGCTCCCGGCTGCAGATCTCAAAGGACCGGGGCTCCGGCGTGGGCCCGTTGTCGTTCACATCCAGGAGATGGAGGAGCAGTGTCCCCGTGCCGGTGGCGTCGGGCAACCCTGTGGGGCAGGGGGTTAGCAGGGCACCCGGGGAGGGTCCCAGCCCTGGCCTCAGGAGCCCTGCTGGGACACGGGCAGTGGCAGCAGCCCCTTCCCCCGAGCCACAGCCCTGCTCCTCACCGCTGTCCACGGCCAGGACAATGGCCTTGTAGGTGCTGGTGATGACGGGCCG